ATGATCAAATAGCATAGAAAAATAGAACATTCTTTTCTCTATCAGACTATATAAAAGAAAGTTTCTTTAACCTTTCTATAAGGGATAAAAATACCACTGCCACTACTTTTGGTATGCCCTAAGTAGAAACATGCTAAGAACACTCAGCATGTGAAGATTGAAAATAAAAAAATTTTGTACAATTTTCGATTTTGCACTCCAATAACTCTCTACTTAGTTTAGCTGCACTAATTTTTCATTATTTTAAGAGCAAATGAATGATGCTGATGCACTCATAAATCGTGCCGAAGCATATATTGTTGATGAACTATACGATCTGGCTTTAAAAGATTATGAAAAAGCGCACGAATATGAAGAGAGTCAACGTATTCATGATGGAATTAAAAGAATTCAAAAACTAATAAAACAAGTGAAAAAGCGTGATTATTATAAAATATTGACCATTCGACGAAGTGCAAATAAAGCAGAAATTCTAAGAGCATACAGAAAACATGGTAAATAAGATATGAAAATTTTCATAATAGAAATTTCAAGTAAGATCGTTCATTTTAGCTATTAAATGGCATCCAGATAAATATGAAGGAGAAGATAAGAAAAAAGCAGAAAAAATGTTTATTGATATAGCAGCAGCCAAAGAAGTTCTCACTGATCCAGGTAATAGAAATCACTCTTATAAAGAGAATGAATATTAAATGTGTTTTGACAAAAAGAAATGTTCGAGACAATGAGAGTGAATTTGAACTGAAGATGTGCACTGGAAATAGATCTTGCAGAATCTCCCATTTTAAGTTGCTTAGAATGAGAGTGAAGAGACTCGTGTTAAACTAATGTTTTCATTTTCTCGTTTAGAAAAACGTGCTAGATTTGATAATGGTGAAGATCCGTTAGATGCTGAAGAACAAGCACAAGGTTTTAATCCATTTGGACAAGGCTTTAATCCATTCGGTGGAGGAAATGGTGGCAGCTACAGTTTTCGATTTCATTTTAATTAGCTTTTCTTATGAAAAGTATTGCAATAGTGAAGTTATTGTTATGGTTTATTTGTTGAGTTTGTTGTATATTTAACTCTCCTTCTCAAATGCATGTTTTTATTTTTTTTTTGTTTGCTTGTTACGATAAATAATAAAAATTTCATAGCCATAGCCATTGAAAAAATAGACGAATTTTACTTGCCGGTTTTACTTGTTTGTTTTTATTTGTTGGTTTATTGTTAACTTTTTTTCTTTTTTTGTAATATTTTTACTAACCCGAACATCTTTGTGTCTGTGTACGTTTACATGTCCGATATTTTATGTAAAACTTGTTCCTCTGTGAAAAAACTATAAATATAAAATATTCCACGA